GGCCAGCCTTAATATTAGACTTAATAAATATATTGTTTCTAAGTCAGAATTTCTGAAGAAAATTTCTTCAAGTGAAAAGTATTTTTCAGGCAGCAAAAGTCAGTAAGAAATCTATTACAAGTTTGTTTTGTTTGTATTTACAACATTCAACTGTAAAATTGATCTCTGTGGAGCAAAGACTAATGTGATTTTTAAAGACTACAATAATTTGGAATTGTTAAGTACATAGGATCTATACATCATGGAATATGAAAATGTAAAATGTCCTCTACTGAGAAAAAAATTTCAAGTAACTCTGTCTTTGGATCGGATTTGTGCATGCTATGGAGCTTGCACTGTGACTTGCACTGACTATGGATATCATTACTCAAAGTAATCTGACAGTGTGTCCTGTCATAGGAAGATATTAAATCAACAGGGATGTTGTCACTTTCCGGCTTTTGGTTATAACACAGTTCAAAATCGCTGAGGTGGTCGCTCTATAAAGGTCTATCTACAAGCCCTGGCTAGCCACTGGCTGCTAAAAAGGGAATATTTACATGTCTCATGGAAAAATCAATTAGTTTCATACAAAAATGGGTGTTAATGAAGGTGACAGCTTAGGCAAGATGGCCATTTAAGCAGGTTTCACTGTACACTAAAAATGCAAAAAGGACTGAATGCCTAGAGATATAAAATCTACAGTAATAAGTGGTATAGTCAAGAAACATGTCATAGTACATATGCTAAAATGAGGATTCAAAAGTTGGCTGACTTCAGGTAAAGTGTGTTTTGCTTTCAGTTCACCCAATTGTTGAATTACTGTCGTGTAACAATGTGTTTTACAGTGATAACAGTTATTGGTTTTTGAACCTTGTTTGGTTTATAATTTATGAATTAAAATGTCTGAGTCAGCTTGAAAAAGTAATTAAAATGTCTTTTTCAGAAGAAATTACAACCTTCAAAGAGTTAAAAGGAAAATAAATCCTTTGGCTGAAAAATCAAAATCTTTTGAAAATACATTGCTGTAATCAAAGATTTTCTATATCCAGCCTCAAATAACCTTACATTACGAAATGTAAAATGGCATTGATGAAGAAAGTGCCATTATGTGGATTTGTGTCCAATAAATGAATATAAACAACAATATTTTTATTGCCAAGTGTAATATATCATATTACATGTGTGTAAACCCCTTGGACATTGGTCAGCAAGAAGATATATTAAAAAAAAGATAGAGGCTTTGAAAACGACAGACAAAAAATAATTTAAAAAAGAGACCAAGAGAGGATGTTTTGATGTTTGTTAATATCTAAGGAACTAATGTTTCATGAATAATAGAAGTTGTTAATAGTTCCAAGAAATGTTTGTGACAAGACGTGACCTGGCAACTTTATTAAATTGAATTGAGGGCTGAAGTTCGCGAGGAGAAAGCAATCATCTGAAAACATTGAAGATAAGTTAATTATGCACCAATATAAACTGAAAGGAGAACAGTGCTATTAGTGCAAGAAAAAGTAAAACAGACCTTAAAAGGGTGGGAGTAATTATTAAAAAAAAAAGTACTTCAGTTTCTTGTTCTGATTTTTGTTTAATTTTTCTAGTTCATGTAAACAAATAAAATAATACAATTTTGTTTATTCACAACAGGTACTAATATTTATTTTTTGGTATAGAATTCTTAATTTTACTATTTTAAACCATTTTGCACAATTTGTCCAATGTTTTCTCTATGAAGCGTTTCCAACCATAAATCCATGCCCTGAAAATTAGTAAATGGAATTATTCTGGTGATGTATTCATGAGAAAAACACAGGCATATTAATTGATATATTTCGGTACGTCACACTAGAAGAGTATTATCAAACCCAGAAGAAACAACCACATCTACCATAAGGGTGCTTTGCTGAACTTGCATACGATGAACCTACGCCTTTCTCAAAAGCAATGTTTGAAGATTTTTTGTTAAAGCCCCAAAATTAAACAGGCTCCCCCTCATCAATGAAGTTTTCCGTGATTTTCTACAAGCCTATAATAATATTTTCAGATATTAATATTATGAATAGATCCACACATACAGGTAAAATTCGTACTTGACATCCATGCTTTTTGCTTATGTTCTTGTGACATTAATTAAAAATATGTTTTCTTACGCACTACATCATCTATATAAATACAATTGAACTGTCTATCTGTGATTTCAAAATAACTGCCTTTTAATAATCGAAATAGTTGACCTGATAATACTTTACTCGTGCAGTGTTACACATCACGCACTACTGGTCACTAGATTGTTAATCACCTTTTATGCTACGATACGCAAAAATTCTAATAGATGAGACTTTCTTGCAAGTACGGGTTTGCTCTATATCCTGGTTTGGTCATGGTTGTCAAGTATCCTATTGTTCAAACGTTCTCAATCATATTTGGGCATGCGTTCGCTAACACTATGTTGGAAAAATTGATTTACTTGTCCAAAATTCAAGGAAAAATTGCGGCTGATATTTCACAATCGCAGGGGCAGAACTTGTACTTGAACAGTTACTTGTATGCCTGAAGGCGCTCTTAATCCTTGACTGTGAGGTGAGTTGCCTGTACAGGGGCTCGAGTCGTTATAAGCGAATAAAGTCATCAACAACGCCCCCACATGTCTGATTTAATTTAAACCACTCTTTCACCAACATTCCCATTACTAATAATAACAATGTGAAAATTTTAACAAAATTAGTCTAGTAGATTTTGCATCTGTTTGTGACACATTCACTTTTATTTATATGAAGATATTATACTCATTTACTATATTTTTAAAAAAAAATATTTATTTTTATAATTATTGTCTGTGTCTATCCTCTTGAATATCTTAACCATTTTTAATGCAGTTTTCTCTTAAAGGAAGTATTTTGTCAGGCATAACTTAGATGAATTTTTTCAAATTATTATTCTCTCTTTTGTAATTGTTTGTTTGATATTCATACAAATCTAGAATTTTATTTCAATCTTAATATTATTTTGTACATGTAATTTGTATGTGATCTTGAAAACAAGAGAAAGTTACTCTCTACAAGAGATTTCATAATAATGTTAGCGTGTACACTCTCAGCTTTTCCTGGATATTCCGATTTGATTCATTTTGACACAGCAATTGCCAATTGGCTATTGAGAAACTGAAGGTACAAATTGTTACACAAGTTTGCTGGAAGTAAGCAACAATACATGCCATTGTAGCTGCCCATACCAATGCTGGTGGTAGCAATGATAACTGTAGCAAATCTGGCAGGGCAGAGCATGACAGGGAAGAAACGTAGAAGAACAAGATGGGATGAGGCAGGGGAAGAGGGGCAGAGTAGAGCTGGACAGGGTGAGATCAGGTGGGACGGAGAACGTTTGAGGCATGGTAGGTCCGTGTGGGTGAGGGCGGGGAAGATAGGGTAGGGTGGGGAAAAGGGCCAACAACATAGAAGAATTGATCCCTTTTCCTCTAACAAATGATTCCAATTAATTAAAACCTGGGCATTGCAGAGTACTTCAGCTAGATTATGTACAAAAACCAAACAACCTTATGTATACAAAGCAAGTATATTACTAAAGCATCAACAAACTAACTAGATTTCATTAGTTTATAAGTTATAAAGTTATTAGTTTTTCAAAATTAAAAAAGCTACTTGCTCAAATGTTAGTTTTCCAGATCCCATCTCACACCAGGGCTCTCCAGGGCAACTTCAAGTTACTTTCTAGAGATGATTTCTCTTTCTATGGCTTCTTAATCTGACTACATAAAAAATGTGAAATTCATGCTTCCTATAGCTTAGGAGAATCTTATGCTGCAATACATTTTGCAAGATATCTTTCATTACTTGTCCATCACTCACACCCTCCTCTTCATGCGGATGAAGTAAGCATAATTCATACAAATAAATCAACAACAAAAAATGTTTCTTCTATTTTATACTAGGTTTAAATGAATAGAAACTAATTATCTGCAAAATACATCAGATACACACATAAATCTGATCTCATAAGTAAACACCATTACAATCCAATTAACTCTTATGGATCTCTCAATAGGTGTCCTTAAAAGTGTTTTTGTAACACAGGCATGCTCTGGGAGCCTTTCCAAGAACAAATGTATAAAGGGTTCAGGTGCAATCGATGATAATATGCACAATCAAGGAACGCTTATGAGATTTAAGTGAACATTTCAATTTAAGTGAATTACAATAACACAACTGAAGGTAATCTACAAGCCAGAGATTGACATACTTAAGTTATCTGCACAGAAAACAGATTGTAGAAGCAAAAAATTATAGTATCGTAAAATAAACAATTCTGAGGTTAACATATTTTACACCTTCATCCTTCATATCTAAATACTACTTATACTGTTGTAAAAGTTACAGATTGTATTTTTTCCAATCCAGGCTACTCTCACATATAAGCCTCTTTTTTTGGAAGAAAATTTATGATAACTTTGGTATACACTTCATGGTATTTGTTGCAACTATGTTCGAAAATTGCTAATTTCTTGCATGTCTTAAGAAAATTGCTGGTGGGATTTTGGTAAATAAGTCAGTACATTTGAAATACTGTTTAATAATTAACAATACTTTTTGAAAAATATATTATGCATAATTTCAAGATATTTGCATATTAATTATATTTGTAAAAGAGGGGGTATATTTAAGAAAATATTGTATTACATATCACTATTTATTGGAAATTGTTTTTCCTATTTATTATTATATATATTATTTTAGAATTAAGCTAGTGATCTGGCTTACATGAGAGAATAAACTAGAACATGCCCAGTTGTGTCTGAGTAAATTAACTCAAGAAATAAATAGAAAATGTTATAATTTGATGTTTAAAAAGGATTTGTGACCAAGATTTTTTTTTCTGAAGAGAGACGAGAAGAAAAAAAGCAATTTTACAAAAAGCGGGAAAGAAAATTAATCATATTTCTCTGCAACCATACCCGCATTAACTTAATATAATATTCTGTAAGTATTGAAGAATATACTTACCTATTTTAGCATCACGAATTTCTTTCATGTGCATATTAATAATGGCAGGATCCCTAGAGCTGTAGCACCCTAGAGCAGGATAAAAGTTTGAACTAATGTCAGTTGGAGGCATATGTGTCCCAGTAGGATATATCTTCTTGTCATCTTTTTTCCAGTTTGGAAGATACTCATGATTCCAATGTCTCCATCGGCCCTCTACTGCAATACTGCCATACCAAGGGTAATAAAATACATGGACATTGTAATTAGGATTATTCTTAGAATTTACATTTTTCTGCAAAAGTGTTACGGTTTGAGCTTTCACTTTGCGAGAAATCCTCTCCACTTTCTGTTTCAATCTCTCCAATCTTTGTTCTGTCCTGTTTCCAATATGCTGCACAATAAGTTCATCTGAAACTCGATCTGGTGCATAACTTGCAACCATCTTCACAAAGGTTGTCTGACTCACAGTTGTCAGAGGTGAATTTGCATGACCATTCAGACAATTCACCCCACTACCTAACATTGTCCATTTGTAAAACATAATACTAACAACCGATATAAACACAAAAATTAAAGTCAGAGAAACAAAACCTCTGCGTTTTATGTTAATAATGAGCCACCGAATTGGCACAGCCATATTAAAAAAATAAAATAAAAAACGAAGAAAATTAAACTATCTTGATATTATTCTTTAACGTTTGTTATTTTTACATTACTAATTGCAACACTACCAACCACATATCACATAAAATAGCACCCGACAGTGATCCTGCATTTTCACTATTCGTAGTCAAAGTTTCCATCCTTTTAAGTGAATATATAAAATTTGACTTTACATTTTCTGAAAGTCACGTCAAAATACATTTTCTACTCTTGAATACTCTTATTAATATCGTTTGTTCTATTCAACAACCCGCATAATCACTCAGCAAGCTCACAATCAACTTTCGAGTAATTGGCTCATAAATGTAAATAACGATTTTATTTTTGCTAGTAGAGGTAAGGGAATGGATTAATAGTTCGCTTCACGTGGACGCCACATCTTGGAAGAAGTTGGAAAACCCACCGACCTAACCGGAACATACAACTACACTTCGATTTATTTAGAGCTGCCTCTGACAGAAACTGCTTTTACTGTGTCGTCCAATCGGAAGGTTAAAAGTCACCAGTGACGCCATTATAGTGACGTCCAGCTCCTGATTAGATGACATTGTAACAGCTTATTCTTGTCAGAGGTAGCTGTAAATAAATCGCAGTATAAGCCTACAAGAGAACTCCTATGCTTCGATTTACACGTTGAGTCCGTTGACGTAAATTACGGTCAAGCAATCGGAAGCTTGGAAGACACCATTCCCTCTGGATGCTCCGCAACAGTGGATCAAACGTCACAGACTCTGTACAGTGTAGGTGGCATACTGCGTGCATTTGATGTTTCAATCAGAGTGATTGCTTTCAATCCACAACATTGTACCAAATATTGTTACGAATTGTGCAGTTCGCCAATCTCAATTCTGGATCGAAATTTGATTTTTTTTATATAATTGCCAAAAAATGCTTCCATTACAAATTACTACCATGGAAAAAGAAATCGTAAGTAATCGTAATCATTACTGCCGCCTCACAAAGTGCCTGTCATTACTGCCGCCTCAAAAACTGCACCTAAGATCGTAGCGAATTTGAACATGTTTGTCTTTTAAGGGCGATGTTCAGACTTTTAAGATATTAATTTGTTTGTTTTCAGGGTAAGTCAACTTCTTCTTCAGGTGTTATAGCCATTTCGCCATGTAACGATATTTTTTAAACATTTCACATAAAAAACATTTTAAAAAATCAAAATTAATCGACAGGTAATGATACTAGAAAAAAGTACACACTTTCTCTTATGCGTTAGTCTCATAATCCCTTCGATCGAGTTTAGGTTTTCGGCTTTGTCCCTTGCCACCTACCTAGTTGTCATCCTTCCTAGCCTGGAAACATCACAGTCATATAAAGTAATAATACCTTCTTAGTCTATGACACTGTACCTAAAGTACGATTTATTTAATCGTGTACTTGACGTAAATCAGCTTTGCAGTTTCATCCAATCGAGACTTGATACATCGCTACAGTGACGTCTCTACTGGGACGTTCAAGCTCCACATTGGATGGAATCGTGAACAGCTAATTTACGTCAAATGCATGGTTAAATAAATCCAAGTATATAACACGTACCTACATATAATCATCACGGTACTCTGGGACAATGGCACTCTGGCCACGACAATGCAGAGGATAAACAAACATATCTCTTCTCAGATTAAGTCAAAGCAGAATTCTTTGGCGACATGCTTGAAGAGAGGTTTGTTAACAACACTACACAGGTGGTAGATGAGGAGGAAACGGACGACAGCGCCAATACACTTACACATTGTACAGTCGAAGACGTTTCGACTACAATTAAATGCTTGCGTAGTCGCAAGGTGCCGCTACCTGACCGGATAGGTCCTCCCGTTCTTAAGGAGGCTCTACTGGTCATAAACTCAGAGATTACTCGAATCTACAACAGCTGCATTACACAGCGGTACTTTCCGGAAATTGGAAATCCGCAAGTATCTCCATGCTTCCGAAACCCGGTAAGGATCTCACAATTGCTGCGAACCACAGGCCAGTCTCCTTCCTGTTATGGGAAAGGTATTCGAGAAGTTTCTGTTCGCGCGTATTCTGCCAACTACTAACTAAACTCTGTAAACGAGATCCTCAAAACGGAGGATTGCGGCCGGTGTCCCTCAAGATTCCGTCCTCTCTCCGCTAGTCTTGCTGTATGTCAATGACATCCCACATATACTATGAACACAGCTTTTCCTTTAGCTGCAGACTTAGCCATCTTCGCAAGAAGAATAAACCTAGACTACAAATTGAAAATATTTCAAAAACACATCCACCTGACGCTCAAGTGGGCGGATCAAAACCAATTGTTTGTTGTTGTTGTTTGTTTTTTTGTTTTGTTTTTTTTTCTTCCAACGCAAAAGTCGCAGGCAATCTGTTATAGCCGCCGAAAACACAAATACACTAAACTTTTACACCATCAAACCAAATTACACATGGCACACAAAAAATGACATGGGCGCCTAAGGCTACTTACTTAGGCGTCACATTTGATCGAAGGATGCGTTGGCATTTACATGTCAGGCAAATTCGACTCTTGCAACCTCTTTTGAGGGAACCTACACCCCCCTTGGAACTTGGCGTGGCACTCTTTAATACGTGTTGCCGGCCTGTGGCCACCTACCCTGCGGCAACGCGGTGGACCACAGCACAGAAGTACAAGGATACACTTGAGCTAGAACAGAACAAAGTTCTGCGGTTCATAGCACGCCCTCCATTTCAGAAACGGTTGAAAGTACTGTTGAATGAACTTGATATCGAGTCCTTCACTTAAGACGGCTTTTGTTTAACGAAGCCAATCAAGCCTTTCAAACGAACGAAGCTCTGGTAACGCTAAAGCAATTAGCTAGAAACGTCCTCACTAGAGGGCAATGAAGACATGCTTTCTGATATTCTGAGGGCGTAATGCAACACAAAAGCCAATTTGGTTATTGACAAAGGTCCGACACGAAGCCACACCGGCCACTTACACAGAGCAGTAAAACGCAAAATGCGTGCGAACTGCAACACAAACTACAAAATCACACAAACCTTTGGCTAAACCGAAAAAAAGTACTGTGGGAACATTGCTAAGGTCCAATTAATGGAATTTGGTGTGTGGCGGTTGTGGATAACGTAAGGATGTCCCTCCCGTTTGTGTGAAAGCTGCCAATCAGAGTGAAATCTTACATAATCAGTATATATTTTAAGGAATCATCAAGACTAGTACTTAAAAATAAATCGTATTATCATATATTTAGTTATTCTAGAGAAGGTATTAACTTCTAAATGTATTTAACAATTTAATTAACATCAATTCTTGATAGGAATGATGCTGTTTTAACATTATTTGTCAAGTAGTAGTTTTTCATACAATTCTTACTGTAATTTTAATTAATTTCTAGACAGACTTTGCCTGATACTTTCTGTAGACTATAAGTAATAAAATAGTATTATTATTGTATTTTGCACACACTAGTCATTGTTACATTTGAAGAAAATTGTTATGTTCTTGGGGATGATTAATAATTCATTCGGAAAAAATTAAGTAGAAAACGTTTATTGCATTCATAATACATAATAGGTAAGAACGCGTGACAACTTATTAACGGTCACTCGGGAACACGTCAGGGAGGACGTCCGTCCACTACGGTTGACGGCGAGAGACTGAGCTATTATTTTATTATTGCTCGCGGCATTGCATATTTACAGAATAAAGCAATATTCAATACAATACACATTTAACAATACCCTATTAGCATTTATCATAGTTTTCAAAATGTTTATTTAACAAAAGACTGATAATTAAAAAAAGGAAAGATTACATCTTTTGACCAATTTATCAATCTTGATATTATGTGCGTTAATGCTTATGTGATTTTGTACCTTGGTATAATTGTTCAGTAAAATGTTTGTCATTGTATGTGAACATTTTACAATCAGTTTTCATATCTATTTCACACTCACAGCTTTCATTAATGTAAGTGTCAGAATTCTCAAATCTATTTACAGTTAACTTAATCTTAGTTTCTTACTATGTGCAGCAATAATGAAACAGGACTCATTCATAACTAATAAAAGTTTGCAAAACTTGAAAGGAATTAATGCAAAGAAAATTGGACAGCATAAACCACCTCGGGAAATTATTTCTAAGTAATCTCCTGCTTCTTCAGGAACTCCTTCAAATTCTATTAATTTGTTTAGATTTATTAACAACTCACGACTGATTTATTCAGTGCATCTCCAGCAACATGCCCTGCAATAACAATCAGAGCTTGCTAGTCTTTAGTAGTCATATCCACATAATCTGCTTCATTAATTACAGATAAAATTATATTATATTTCTGATGCCAAATCACATTCTGGAGTTGCAGTACAAATTAAAAAATATTTTAACACAAAATCTCCTTTTTCTGCTGATTTCAATTCCACCAAATAATTTTGCAGGGCGTGCCTGGCAGTGGCGAGGAATGGATCTCGACTAAACTGTACTGATCTATTTCGTTGGTCCCGACTAAATTATACAATCCATGTTCGAAGTAAAGTAGAACTTTATGTGCCTCGCCCAATCCAGTGTTCCAAATATTTCTACTTCGGGCATACATCCAAATCCTGTAAAGATACAGAAATTTGATTCAAGATTACCAGTATAACACATTTAATAATTATAGGAAACCTTGGTTTTACCTGTTTGATAGATATTCTACATAGAACCATAGTCACTATTAATCGTGTTGTATTAGAAGCAATCATACGTCTCTTAACAGCAGCTTATATTGTGACCGTCCCGTCCTGCCTCTGTATTAGAATAATTTCTTTACATATATTACTTGTTTACCTGAGACGCAAACTCTAACAATGTTTAAAATAATATTTTTGGCACGGGCGACCACTGTAAAATTTATATTGGGTCATGGGACTGAAGTTCCCTCCTGTACAGGATAGGGGAAAATGATTCTCATCATCTTATTGGTATTGGAGGGGAAATTATTTTTCTTAATCTACAGCCAAAAGAGACTTAGACATTTTCAACTGAATATTCAGTAACGTGTTTGGTGATACTGTTGCTTATTTGACGACGTTAATCAACGCTATTTTCCTCTGTGACGCTACCAATAAAATCATTACACAAAAACAAAACCTTCTATACAATAACAAAAGAATGTAAATTTAACATTCACGCTGAACAACAAAATATTTACTCTATTCTCATTCATACCGTGCACATTATAATTTTGATGGCCATGTACATTGCTTAAGCTTTACTGAATCTACTACAATACTTGGCCACCTTATAATTTTATTCCGTCCACGCGGGTAATATTTGCAGAATGTTGAATTCCCTGACTGCAATAGCGTTGCCGTCGGCTTGCAAGTCCGTTCCATCCACCATTTCACCATAAAGTTCCATCAGCTGGGCTCAACGTTCCATATTTCCGAACCTACTTAATGCCGTATTTCTGCCTCCCAATACACCTCTCTGATAACAATTCACTC